TATATATAAATGATTATGATTCTAGGTAGATTTTACAATTCATGAAGTATGATTGCCTTAGACTCTTTTGAAGGTTAAATATACATAGCATACTTATACTTATACTCCCGTATTCTGCCACGCCTCCTCCTTCTCCTGTCCATTACCGTTACCGTTACATTGCCACAAAAAACAATACACCCCATTTAGCCATTCGCAGAAGTGCCATGAAAAGTCTCTGCCATTTACCATTTTCTAAGTCGATTCAGAGACATTTATATTCGTTTTTCTATTGCGCGCACAAATGAAAATTTACGCGGCAGCCAGCTGGTAATTGGTAACTTATTTAGGCCATTTGTATTCGGCAATGGGCTTTAGAGTTAGTCAGGTATGCGGGCAATACGTAAATCATTTTATCCAACGGCTGATATAATCCGCACATATGTACTTCACTTAAATAAGTAACTCCTATCCCTGCTCTGAGTGCGCCTGGGGGCGGGTCTGTCTGCACGTCGACGCGAGGCTGCTTGAGGTCGCTTCAGCACGTGCCCGTACATGTGTGCCGCAGTTAAGATAGCCGAAAGCCCCCAAAACCCCAAAAAGAAATCCTATCACATCGCGAAATGCGATGCAGCGATCAACCACACAAGCGACGGCCCCAAATTGTGGGCACATCAAGATGTAAGCAGCTTGAGATGGTATATCTCATTGAGTCGTGCCCATTGCAAAATGTGTGAAGAGGGTATAATGTCTGTGGCGGAGTGTATGGACCAGGCAGAGGAAGTGGGTAAGGGCGGAAAAGCATTGACTATTTATATAGTGTATATATGAGTCTTAAAGACAAGTTGAAATGTGTATATCTCTCAATTTATCATGTAGTGAACTCAGTGAACTTGTAAACTAGAAAAGTTATAGGGTCAGATTTGGTATTACATAGGCTTGTATAACACATACTATAAAAACCCTTTCGTTTTCTTTAATATCTTAACCCGATTCCATTGTAATGATAAATATGGCTATTTTCACTTGATTTCTTGGGCATATTTCAAGGACTGTATTATTAATAAGTACCAAGTTGAGTATATAAAGTCGAATGATATATACCAAGATTATAAATATTTCCTTTCTTAGATATCTCTAAGCAAATTCCATAAAATCGATAGGTATAACTTAATTTAAATATCAGAGGCATCAATTTTGGAATACACACACACTTTGCTCTTATATGCATGCTATGAAAATTGCATTGAGATCACACATCTAGAGCCCAAGTTCAAACAGTCTATTTCCCATAAAAGATAACACCAGCGCAGCAACTGCATATGTATGTGTTCTTTATATGTATGTGTCTATACTCATGAGCTGGCTCTACTTATCCTGTAGGATATCTGTAAAGCGTGTCAGCTGCAACTAGCGCCCATCGCAAGTGGGTTCAATGTACAGCCACACACTTGGCTAGGCGCAGAGTAGGGTCTAATAGCCGTATGCGTTCCACAATCAATAAAATGCAAATTAAATTGAATAAACACCAATTTCGTATGAATTCAAGAGTGGAATATTAACAAAAACTGAATGCGTGCTTGAATAAGCAAATGTGTGTGTGTGTGGGTGGATGTATGTAGATGTGTATGTGTGTGTGTGTGTGTGTGTGTGTGTGTGTTTCATTAGAGTGCTGTGCGTGCTTCACTCATTTTCATTATGCGAAAAAATCAAATTTTGAAAAGTTGCGCTTAAAATATTTCCCCATAAAATAACTCGCCCAGTGTCTAGAATTTGGAAGGCAGGCGTACAACTTTCATTACGCAAAAGTTTTTTAATAAAAGTACAAAACATAGTGGCTGCATATAGTACACACACACACACATACATACACACACATACGGGCAGACATTATTAAAAGCAACTGTTTTGTTTCCCACTGAATGTGCTTTATAATTGTATTTAGAATGTGGGAATTTTCGTTGTGTTCGGTCAACTTTGAATTGAAATAAATTTTATTTTCATATCTCATCCTCTCTCTCTCTCTCTCCCCCTCTACCTCTTTCCGCTCTCCTTTGTGTTGATGCAAAAACGAATTAAAATTTTGTGGCTCATAGCAAAGTATTAATGTGTTTATGGATATCAACTTATTATTAATATTATAAAGTTTCTGGTTTAATTTTCAAAGTAAACAAGGTTAGCAAAGCCCGAAATGCATTTGCCTCTCTCTCTCTCTATCGCTCTCGCTCTGTCATGCACAGCAAACTCTATTTAGTTTATTTCTAATCTGTTTTAGTTAACAATTCTCACCTGAGGCCCATTAGAGTATATATTTTGTGACTGTTCATAAATATGTTGACATCAATTCATACTGAATTAGAGAGCAGACGGAGAGGGAAAGTGGACAACAGGCATATGCAGCTGTATAATCATGTCAATTATCGATAGTCATTTAGTCAAAAGTGAAATGAATTGTCCATGAAACAAATCGGTGATTGCAAAACTCTATAGTTCTTTGGAATCGCTGTAAAACCAACTGCACAGTACTCGCTAAAGAATGAATGCATTAGCATATCGATACTTATCGATTCTGACGAGTGCAATAGGGGTGAGTGAAAGGGTTAACAAAATGTAGGATTCTAGATTTCAAAGATTTTTTGCAGTATAAATATATAACCATTCATTCCAGTATCGACATTTTGTGATAAACTCAAGAAGGAATATACATAAGGCAATATTTGGGGTAAGTAGGACCCACAAGACTATATACGTATGTGTATGTCAAGTATCAACTTTCAGCCACACAATTTCATTAAGGAAACACTAATACCATAGCAAACCAATATACCCATTTCACTTCCCTGAACGCGCATGCAGCCCTAACTGCAAATGAGGCAAGGCAGGAAGAATTAAGTATCATTAGACAGCGTTTGCTCATCAGTTGCAACTAACGATATTATGAGGAGGACCGTGAACTATGGCGTGGCGGAGCCATGAATTCCGCTTTAAAATAATTGAAATATAAATCTTAATATTTAATATTTGATGAGGCGACTTCAATATGCCGCTGTGTGAATGCATTAAGGTGGAGTCATTTCTATTCACAGTGGAGCAAAGCGGAAGCGCGCGGCCAAGAGTTGTCCGCCAGATATTAAGTGTAGACAGCAGCAGAGAGAGAGAGAGAGAGAGAGAGGGAGAGTGCGAGGGCAGGGCATATACTTTGTATGCAAAATAAAGTGCTTCAGAAGTCAGTTAAAGTGTGTCGCGCTGGCTGAAGCCGCCCAGCATAAAGAGCGTAAAAAATGCTAAATGATAAATAAAATTTACAACCGCAACAACAAGAGCGACATTGGCAGCAACAGCAGCAGCGGTGACGGCGGCGACAGCGGCAGAGGCAGAGCAGCAGCGCCGACAGCGACATGCGAGGAAGCGACAATGATATGGGAAACGGGGGTGGGTTTTGCACTGCCTGCATGGCCAGCATATGGTGGTGTGAGGGGGACAGCAGTGTTTGCATACTTGCCCAGCACATGGTGTGAGCGAGAGAGGGAGCGTGTCTCTTCTTTTTCTCTTCTTTGTGTTTTGCTGTGCTTGCTTTTGTTGTTGCTGGCGACATAATAAAATGCAATTTAGACATCAAAAATACAGTAAATAGAGCAAGCAAGCAGAGAGCGACGAGGAGCGAGCGTGTGGGAGAGTAAGCAGGACAGACAGAGAGACAGACAGCCAGACAGACAGGCAGATGACTGACAAGCGGCTGGCAAAGGCAAACGACGACCACACACAGCACACACACATACACATATATATATATAGGAATTGCAACAAAGCGAGTACGCAGAACAAGCCATGCAAATGCCTAAGTGTGCGTGCGAGTGTACAAAATGGCGGCAAAAGACGCGCAGTGCATGCAAGCAATTGAGTTTTATATTGTCACGAATGTGGGAAGATGAAGACAGCAGCATGATGAATGATATATGTATGTGTGTGTACGTGTGTGTGTGTGTCTCTGGCTGTGTGCTTATAAAATGTGAATAAGTAGGAATAATTTAATGACAGTTAATGTGCCTTTTAAATAAGCCAAAGCAAACTGAACTTGCAGTTGATAAAACTCTCTCTCTCTCTACATACATACATCTATATATGTAAATATGCATGTATGTGTATACCTAGCGTAGCTCAAGCAACTGTCACTTGGCCCAGGCAAAAGCACAGAGTGACAGCAGGTCAAGGCAGCAACAAAGAAGAGCACCAAGAGAGATAGACAGAGAGAGAGAGGAAGAGAGAGAGAGACAGCTAGCGACAGATAAGACCGGAGAAGAAAATTCTGTGCATTCCAAGCCGTAGCAACGGCAAACAAAAGGTGTGCTGCTCTTAATTTAATTAGAGTTTGCGTGCCGTTAGCTTTTGCTAGCTTAAATTACTTGAATTGCGCCATAGGCATAAGGATGTCCCGCTGCCAGAGCCAAGATGCGGATCTAATGGTCTGGAAATAGCATTTGCCAGTTTTCACAAAACAACAACAACAACAGCAACAGCAACAGCGGCAGCAGCAGGAACGTCGCCTTCATGAATTTCATTTCATTTAACACAATTTCATTTAAGTAAATAAAACTTAAATAAATATATATACAGTACATAGAGGGCGTAAGAGAGAGAGAGAGAGAGGGAGAGAGCGCGACTGCCTGAATGTTCGCATACATAATAAATGCAGCATTAAATTGCAGCTTAAAAAACCTCGAATGAAAATGAGTTAATGCGGTTTTTTTTCTTCTTTTTTTCGCTCATTTTTACTTGTTTCTGTATTCAGACGAATGCAAATGGTTGTAATGTTAAATGAGTCACAAAATTGGTATACAACACAGGATTTTGGCTTAACAAAATTAATTTCAACTCTGCGATAAGCGCAGCACGAACACATTCCAAGTGCCACGGCATGACAGCGTTTGCAAAATGCCCCGCGCCACGGGTCGTATGAGTAACGTAATTATTACATAATTATAGTGCTGGAGAGGGAGGGAGTAACGGGAGTTACGGGAGAATTACCACCAGCTCTTGACCTTGTGCAGCACCGTCTTAAACACGGGCACCTTGACCGGGAAGGGCTTGGGCACCTTGATGGGCAGATACTTGATGACCGTGTAGGGCACACGCTTCTCCACGGGCACGGGCACGTGCTTCTCGATGGGCACGGGCACCAGGCGCTCCACCGGCACCTTCAGCTCCTTCTCGACGGCGACCTGCACCTGCTTGGTGATGGGTATGTGGATGGGCACGGGCTTCTTGATCGGTATGATGACGGCATGGGAGATCGGAATTTTGACAGGCTTCTCGACGGGCACATGCTGCGTCTTGACATGCTTCACCGGCACATAGTTGATGATATCGACGTGATGGTGGTGCTGGTGCTGCTGGCCATGGCTGTCGTCGTGAGCCAGGAAATTGCCGGCGTGCTCATCGCCCTCTGATTGCTGCTCGTAGTCGGCTGGGCCGCTGCCCGCTGAGTCCGATCCGGCTGACGGCTCGCTCTCGGTTTCGTGAGGTGTGAAATAGGATGCGTGCTCCAGCAGCTGTTGCTGGTGCTGCTGCTGCTGGTGCTGGTGCTGCTGCCCCTCGGCATGGTGCTGCTGGAATGCGTCGTAGCCAGAATTCAGAAAATTCCCCACCGACATTTTGTCGTAGGCATAATGGCTGCCGCCCGCCTCCTGCGCCTCCTGCGTCGCGTGCTGCTGGTAGGGCGTCCACGCCCCATGCTCTGCTCCACCGTAGGCCGGCAGATAGCCAGCCGCATGCTCCGCACCAGCAGCTGGAAAATTGTAAATCGCCGAGTGCTGGCCGCTGCGACCCGCCTCCGTATCGCCGTAATCGCTGGCTGACGCCGCCAGCGCCGCAACGGCCGCATCCTCGTGCTGCTCTTCATAAATTGGTATCTCTTGTTTTGACGAGGCGGCTGCCAAGGCTTCGGTGTGCGTGGGCGCCACTGAGGCATAGCCGTTGCTAATGTGTCCCAGGCCCGAGAGATTTGTGAGCCCATTAAGCACAGCTCCCACACCGCCCCCGCCCCCACCGTGTCCGCCCAAACTAGACGAATCGCTCCTAAAGCTGCGGCGCTCGCCCTCCGCCCCATCGTACCGCAAGCCGTAGCGCTGCAGCATGGCCGACATGGATGACACGGCCTCCCTCTCGCCCATTGGCCGCCAACGATTATCGTAGTGCCTGGCACCGCCTGTGCTGCCATAACTGCCGTAAAGCGCTGTCTGGGCTCCAGCTGGCATTGATGAAGCTTTCGTCGACGCTGTCCCTGCGGTCGCCGGCACGGCAATCCACACAATTGCAGCGGCCACAAAGAGCGGCATCTGCGGAAGGGACGCTTAGTTTAAGTCCATGAAAATTATTTTAGCAAGTAAAAGTGTTCTAGTCGAGTGAGTCCGACCAGCAGATACCATGCAAAGGCATGCATGATAGAGTGTGTGCGTACATGCTGTAAATATATACATGCATTTGTACTGTGGTATTATTTTTGAGGAATTGACTCACTGAACTGGGATTCTAGCTGTCCGATCTTCATGAAACTTGCAGTGTATAAATATGATATCAAAAAGTGAGTGTGTCTTAAATTTCATGTCTCTGCCATTTAAAGTGACTTTGTATATACCATTTTGAGGGAATGGGGAGATTTATCCAGAATTAGTTTACTTTACCTTACCACAAGCCGAATTTTATGCCTCTAGCTCTAATGATCTTGACGGTATGCCTAAAAAGCCGAATCTATATAACGATATTTATCGATAACTACAAGATTAGATGTGTTATATAAAGAAAATATTAATCTTGTGATTCTTTTGGTATCTAAGAGTATATATTTAGAAATTTCAGGCTTTGACTTTTGTAGCTCTCGAGATCGATCCATTTATCTAGGCAAACAAACGAATATACAGACAAACGGACGAAAAAGTCTAAGCAGCTGATGCACCTACGCAAGAATATGTATCCTTTAATACCTCAATCACGTCTTCAAGCGCCTTTTACATGAGTATACACCTAGCTGATATACCCCATTGCGTTTTCCAATGCTCACAGGGCACAAACAGGCAAAACTCTTTTGATGCAAAGTGCTAGAAAATTGCGCAAAAATTGATAAAAGCGGGAACGCCCGAGCGCCTCTTTGACTAATGCATTCTTAATAAGCACCAAGAGATTAACAATTATTGTCCACAATAAAAAGCACTCGCCACTCGGAGGCACGCGGAGGTTGCCTCGTGCCACTCTCACAGGCTCTTCACGCCTGCCGCTCACTGGACTCACCTTAATGTTGTTGGCCATTTGGCTTGGATTTAGGCTCACTCCAGAAGTAGTCCTCGGGTTACTTGGCAGCAGACCTCGTTGGCTGCACGGCTGCAATGGAAGTGTCTGCAGTTTGAGTGCGGCTCGCGTTTTTATACCGCAGTTTGGCGCCACTAGGACAAGAGCCTCCAATGTTTTTCCTATTACACAATCTGCAATCTCGGAGCCGCAATTTCGCAGTCGCTGTTGTTGTTTGCAGAAGGCGGCCGACGCCGCCGACGTCGTGCAGGTGGGCCAAAGTGAGTGTCTTTCATTTGTTGACCTGCCCGTTCCTGGAGGCCTCTCGCTCGCTCCCACTGCAGCGGGCCCACGAGGAAAACTCTAATGGCATAGCATTTGATATTGCTATTTCCAATTTTGCGCCCATTTCTCTCTCTCCCGCTCTCTCTATCTCCCTCTCTCACGCGATCTCTTTCACTGGGCATTTATGAATTAAGTTACGCGATCAATTCAATGCTGCCAAAAACCGGCTGAGCCGCAACAAAACGGCAATCGCACTCGACTAAACAATAAAGTTCAAAGTCATTTTCCATTTGCCACGGCAGGCGACTGGTAGGAAAAACTGCAGGCGGCACGCGCCAATTTTGAATAGCGAACAGCCAGAGCTACAGTCAGAGCCACGATCACGATTTGCCCGACTGCTCCGGCTGCCTCAGCGTGGCCTTCATAATCAAAACAAACTTGCACTCGCTCAAAGTCGTCATCGTTGTCATCATATGCAAAAGCCAAGACGACGGCAGACAGCGGACAGCCGGCAGTCCATAGTCCACGCCGTCCGCAGTCCGCAGTCGACAGCTGAGCCCAGCTGAAAAGTTGTTTGGCCAGCAGCCAGCGACCCAGCGAGCGACTCCAGTTGAAGTGCAGCTCAGCTGGACAGACAAAAGCTGACTGCTATGACTGACAAAAGCTGCCCGCTGGGCATTGCAAGGGCGAGCCGTGGGCTGGCATAGAAGCAGGCAGATAGATAAATAGATGGACAGATGAAAAGGGTTAGGTCGGGGCCAGACTTGCCAGAGGCCGCTGAAAAGTAAGAGTCGTTTAAGATTTTTTTACAAACACAAAATTCCAGAGAGAGTTAAAGAAAAGAGAGGGAGGAGGCGTGAAAAAGATTTGTGATTGCCCAAGGCTCAGTTGAGTGCTAATTCTGCCCTGGGTTAGATTTACTTAGACTATTATAGTTTTAATTAAAAATATATTTTTTTGTGAAACTCTAAGGCAAAGTATCAAGTATTGGGATATTATATAAGGTAATTATCAAGTATTGGGATATTATAATATATGTCCATAATTATATATTTAACTATTTAGATATTATATATTGAAATATCTATATACATATGTATGTACTCTACAAGCCCTGCCTCACTTTTTTTGTATCTTTTACAGCCAATCATGCACTCATAGTTTAGTAAGCGAGTAAGATTAATAGGAAAAGCCATTGCCATAAAAAAGAAAACAATTGAGATATTAAATTTGTAATCAATTTATTTTAAAGCCATATTTATGGCCTTTTATATTAAATGATCATTCAAATGACTATAAAGTGGAATATAGCCCAGTTTAATATGTTAAATCAGCGCCCAAGGCCAATTCAGCTGATCGGCGCGAATCGATTTGTCTGCGCCTGCTTTAATACAGTGCACTAAGGCGCTTATATCTTTTTCAATTCGTGCCAATCTCCGCCTGGATTAACGATCATAATTCATAAATGTGCACTCATGCTTAAACTCAGCAATTGTGTAACGAATTGGCTGCACAGAGAAGCCGTGACCTATATCACCATCTGATATTACGGTATTTGCTTACTATTAATTCCATATAAAATATCGTATAATCACATGGCATATCTTGACAAAAAGTTTATCCTATATTCACGCTAGCTCAAGCAACTGTTAAGAAATATTACCTATATAAATCGGAAATAGTTTTGCTCTTGCTTGTTTAGTGCATGCAGACAAAGTGCCTTTGCCTCAGGCTGACAAAAAGCTGCCTGCTGCGATTGCGCACAGCACTGAAGCTGAAACATTGTCGGACGTTAATTTGCATTGTCTGAGCAAGCACTGGCAACTGCTTTGCATTTACTTTGTGCAAATGTCCAAAAAAAAGGTTAATTTTAATTGTTTTAAGACTGTTTTTTTTTTATTTTCATTTCAATTTTGTGTTTTTGCTACTTTTGGTCATTTGGCCATTGTTCAGTTCATGGGCCAAGCCAGCGAGTGAGAGAGAGGGGCGCGGCCGTAAAAAAAGTGAACGCCTTTTAAGTGCACCTGCAGACATGATGCTGCTGATTATATTTTACTCGCCAAGCGTAACAGCTCGTTAGTATTTTCAAGTGATTTCCACTTATTTTCTTTGCCCCAGCCTCAGCGCCACTTCAGCAAACGAAGGCGAAGGCGAAGGCGAAGGCAAAGGCGAAGGCGAAGGTAAGCGGGCCAAAAAGGAAGTGTACTGATTTGAAAGGAAACAAACATTTAGGTAACCTCGCTGACTGCCCAAGATATTTCTCTCTCTCTCTCTCTCTCTCTCTCTCTCTTTCCACTGGCCTCTCTCATTTCTTATTTTTGCTTGTTTTTTGTCTCTTAGCTGGAAGCTTTTGCTGCTGACTTTTATTTTTATTTTTTTATCGCAATTTACGCTTACTTCATTTCAATTACAATTACATGATTTCTTTCTAAAGTCTGGTTGTGCAATTTAATGGAAGTAAATGCAAGAAATTTTTACCCAAAATGATGCAACGCAGGTCAAGCCTTAAATTCGATTTATGGCCAAAGAGAAATGAGATGACAAACATCCCAGCTGTGGGGATTATGCGAATGAATGGAATTTGCAACTAGTAAAGATCTATTGCTATCTCTTTCCCTCTGTTAACTTAGTAACTAAGAAATAATGCTTAAGGTGATATGAGAAATTAAATGAAATTTCATAAAACATAAACATTCAGAATAAATAAAATATTCAGAATCAACCCACAGGCAAAATCCAATAATTTAATCAATAAATTTTGCATAACCAACAATATGAAATGTAATTTAAAATTAAAATGAGCTAGAGGCTTAGAAATTTCCAATTAATTTCTAATTAAATCTTAATTAATTGACTTAAGCGCATTAAGCTATGTGCATATATAAAGGAGAAACGATGAACTAAGACCCAAACTATTTAAATTTTAAATACCTAATACAAGACATAGATAAGGCTGTTCATAGTCGAAGGTGCCTGACGACAAGATTTCAGAAATATCCTGAACAATTGCTGCTTCAAAAAGCAAAAATACAAAAAAAAAAATCCAACATTCCAAATTAGGTAGAAATAACTTTATATCCATCTCTTTCATAAGGAATGCAGTTGCGGCGTTTGTGAAACTCTGGCTATCTCTGTAAAGTTCTATACATAAATATATTTGGGAACTGAGGGTTTCAATAGAATTCCATGGAAACGATAAAACTTGTTAATTCCATTAAGCAAACTTAATCTGTGCAATGGAGCAGCTCACATGAATAGACGAAATACATATAGCAAACATATGAACAGACGGACAGACGGACATATGGGTGAATGGACTGGACATAGTTAAACACACACAAATGGATAGAGATAGAGAGAGAGAGAGAGAGAGAGAGAGAGAGAGAGACGGACAGACAGAGAAATGGACAGATCATACAAACAGGCAAACAAATAAACGGAAGGAAGGATGTACGAAAATAGCAGACAGACAGACGAATGCTTCAGGCATACAGAGACAGACAGACAGACAGACAAATAGACAGATGATCAGACAGGTGGACAGATGGGGTAACAGAGCCAAAAGATGAGGAGAGATTGGATGGAAGCAAACAGGAAAATCGACGAAGAGACAGACAAATAAACAAAAGATCAGACAGGTGATGAAAAGACAGCCAGACGGATAGACGGAAGAGATGTGGAGACAATGGACAAATCAAGAAATGGAAGGATGGATATAAGAAAATCGACAAGCAAATTGGTTAATTGACCGAATGTAGTACAGGCAGATAAATAGACGGAGGGAAGGAATTGGAGATATACATATGTGGATGACTGCAACTATGTAGATCGACTCGGCTATGATTCCTGATCAAGAATGCCATCTGTCATCTCACCTTAACTGACCCAAACAATCTGTTGACTTTTTTCAGTTTAAATATAAATGCTTCCATGCCCCACTAGCAATCCCTTAGCATAACTAACTATCACAAATCTGATTCACACTTAATAATAATAAACTCTCACAATTCCGTTATTGCACTCTGTGTGCGAGGGTGCTCAAGGAGAGTGCAAAGAATCCTGTCAAAGATTATTTTCATCTGGCAATCAGTTAGCAACGCAGTTCGACCATCAGAGATACATAAGCTCACAACAATAACAACAACAAAATAACAAACATGCAACAAATGGAATTCATAAATGAAAAGAAGAAGCAGAAACAAATAGTAAAATGCTTTGGGAATATTTCAGTCGTTGCCTTTGAAACGATTCGAAATTCTATAAAACGCTGTGCAATATTTTTATTTTCGCTCAATGCTGCATATTTCAGGGGATACACATACGCATATACATCCATATCTATATAAATACACCTATATATATGTATATATCCATATATATCTATATCCGTATTGTGCGGGTGTGTATTTGAAATATTCGTGTAAAGGGCGTTTGCATTTGTTTTTATGCATTCAAATTTTTGCCGTTGTTTATTGTAGTCGCTGCAAAGCATTTGTAAATTTGTAGCGCATAAAGGATGCGAAGACAAAGAGCAGCCAGCAAATACACAAAAATGGAAACGAAAAGGAAACAAAGTAATATCTAAACAAGTTTGAGTGCGCCCAACGGGCATGCACGACTAGCTGATGCCCTGCATTTGTCGCGAATGAGATTGTAGTACTCGTATAGCAACACTGAGAGATATGCAGCCTTCTTTAGCTAACCAACTATGGCAAACTGACTGAGTGAACTTGGCTTCTAGCAGTGCGTAACTACACTCTCATAATGCATAATGCACTGGAATTAATATAATATACACCTCTTGAATATTCACTCCAAATTTGTATACCCTTTCATCAGCCACAAATTCAATAGGGTCTAGAGAGTCGTGGAAAAAAAAGCGCAGCCTGGCGCGTCATAAATATTTTCTATTTCCACAATATTTACAGACATGCACAGACTACTGGCTCTTTGAAGGCATTACATATACATCTACATCTATATATATGTGCATGTATATGTATGTATATGTATGTTTCTGTATATGCACAAGTATTTAGCGCGAATTAGCAGAGGGCCCTAGTCGAGTTCCCTAGGCCCAGCGACGAGCTGCGAGCATTCGAAGCAAACGTGGCACTTGCATTACACAATTCACTCTGCATTATATGTGTGTGAAGTGTCATAATAAGCCACGTTAACACAC